AGTATCATAATACAATTGTGATTAAAGCTTCCTTTTCACGCTACGAACAAAATTGTTGCGCTATTATGCGAATGAATGCTGAAAAGTTCTCAGCCCTATAAAAAAATAAAAATAATAATATATGATAATTTTTCAGATTGTTGATAGTTCCTTGGGTCAAGGATTTTTCATCAGCGCCTTGTGTATATATTAATTAGAATGGGATGAATGTTTTAACGTATTTCTTTTCAGAAATATTCACCGTTATATTATGGTTTATAATTATCGAATAAAAGCCGAACCAATATAGATCCAAAGGTCCAACATTGGATAAAAAAAAATCAAATGTATATCGTCTTCGATCTTCTATATTTCTTAAACCTAAAACAAACTTTGGTGCTATTATTGTATGTTTGAGAATTAAAAAAAAATAATATTTATCCAATGAGAAATATTTTCTTCAAATTACCTTTCCCTTAACTCTCGCGACAAGAAAAAATGAAGAGAGAGAAAAAAAAATACTTATGTTAGTATTCCAAAATATCAAGCCCGTTTTTAAATATCATATTTTCAAAGAAGAAGATCAGATATTTAATCAGTAAATTTGTTTTCCACAAATCTGAAGAAGTATTATTGGCTTTCGTCTATGTCTACGATTTCCTTATTTGCGTACATATCCGAAATTTGTTTTCGTCTTTTGACTAAGAAATATTGAAGAACAAATTGTTATTATTATTATTATTTTAATCAGCTTTAGCCACATGAATGACCATCATCCCTTGAGATTTCGTATAAGATGGAATTTTTTAGGGGATATTTTGATCTTACGTCTTCTAAGATTATTAGGATATAGATTTCATTTTCGTTTTAACTCTAGAAATTTTTTCGTCTTATATCTCATAAACACCCTTTTCCATCAACTCTACATATTATTTCGTCTTTGCCTTTTTCAAAATTCACAAACCTTTGCCTATTTTTCATACAGTGTAAATATATTCGCTCATATATTAAACCTTACAAATTGCCGAGTATTAACACTGTGGGAAACACAAAAACAAGAACAATAATAATAAGATGAAGAAGAAGAAGAAGAAGAAGAAGAAGAAGAGATTGTATCTCCATGTTCTATCATCAATTTGATGCAATGTGTTGTCAACTCGTTGCTAAATTGTTTATTCTTTATTTTCATATACAATATATAAACATCAAGAGTTTAATCTTTATTTTACACGTTTGAAAATAAGTGGCGAAAAAAGAGTTATGTTATATTATGCGTGGAAAATAAAAAAACACTGTGTTCAAGGATAGTCGCAAAAGAAATTAATGATGTTGAAGCGCCAGGATGTAGCAAGGAATGAGTGGTTCAAAACTTCTTCAAACTTTTCAAGGAAAGTGAATCCAGCCTCGAAGACAGACCAAGATCAGGGAGGCATTCTGTTTTGGAATTTGAAACCGTGCTTGAAATGGCTGAACAACAGACAAACACAAACATACGTAGATTTTCAGCAGAACTTGGTCCTTAATAAGTACCATCAGTCGTCACCTCTGTCTGTCACCTCGACCTCGTGAACAGATCCTGTCGAGAAATTCCTCAGGAAGTGACCAATATCTAAACTCAACGACATGTGAACATTTGCAAACAGCTGCGGGCAAATCTTCAAGATGTCCGATTTTGGGATTGAGCTGTAACTGGTGTTGGAAAATTGATCTATCTTCGTAATCCTAATAACAGAAAATAGTGGCTTCGTTCCGATCAGGCTCCAGAAACTGAGGTCAGACAAGGGCGATTTGAACAGAAGGTCATATTATTTCGAGGGGATGGTACATTATGAGCTTGTCCCAGATGGTCATACTCTGAACGCTATTATGATCGACAAATGAAACACTTATACGATGCTTTGAAAATACGCTACCCAACATTGGTCAATCAAAGACCCGCTGTCCTGCAGAAACGCTTCAGCATAAATTGTCAATTTGACCAAACACAAACAGAAGTAACTTGTGAAGCTGGAAGTACTGCCTCGACTTTACTACAGTCCATACCTTGCACCATCTGATTACCACCTTTTCCGAGCCATGGCTCATTTCCTGCGCGTATGAATGTTCAAAATATATGGATGACATTGAAAACGGGTGCATGGTGTTTTTTTTTATTTCTAAACCAGCCGAATCCTATAAGCTTGGAATTTAACTTCCAGCACAGTGATTATAACAAGCAATCGAATATAGTGGCTCATATTTTGATGGATAAACTCTTACGTGAAAACTCGTATATGTAATTTGTTTGAACTATTGATTAAAATTTGAATTACGAAAAAAAATGGCCTTTGTATATAATTTTAACTTATTTACACATTTTAATAATCTTGCTATGTAAATAAGGTATATACTCAAAATCATGCAATAATAATGTATATCATATGTTAATTGTTTGCTAGCGGATATTATGTAATTTTGGGTCAACCATGTTATGTGCCGTTAAAATGTTTTCAATTTAAAGGGATAAATGCCAGTACGGTTGGACTTAATTTTAGTTAAATGATGAAGCACTATCTCATCTACATAACTGGCTTTGTGTGAATGGTTGACAGAACAGGGATTAGGATAGCAAAATACAAAATATATTAAGAGCTACACAAGACAGAAAATTATGGGGAGCCATATCGCCTTCGTTCTAAAGGTACACGGCGGAGTTTGTTTTTTTTTGCTGTTTTTTGTCACATTTAATATACGCCGAGAAGAAAACACCTTGTCATGACCTTGTAATAATAATAATGTTAAAATGACTTTAAACTACACCAATCATGGCCGTCGTCGCTTCTGATCATAATAGATTGATAGGACATAATATATGTGTCTATATTTCTGAGATGAGGTATTGTAGTTATTTACCTTGATCGGACTGTTCTCTATTGCCATATCCATGACGTTTCGGCCGTTGTACGCTTGGACCTTCTTTACGTGATAGGAATTTCGAATTAAAACATTTATTTCGTCCACCGGCATTAAATTGTTCTAGTTCTACGTGACACGCCTCTTCCGGATGTCTCAATGATCTTCCTTTAACTCCACTTTCCAAGTTTATTTTTCACCACTGCAGTAGCCAGTAACTCTTTGGCTAAAAAAAATAAAAAATAAAAAAAAACCTTAGACAGTTGAGATAAAGAGAGATAACTCAGACATTCGAAAGAGGCAGGGCACATGGAAGTAGAAAAATCTACCCCGGTGGTCGAAATAATGTGTTCAGTTCGAAATTTCACTCACTTGGAGAAGAACCGGAGCGGAGAACGGCCGAAACGTCGTAAATATGGCAATGAGGACAACAGCCCGAGCAATGTAAATAATGTAAAAGGATATAAAATGTACATGTTTTTTTCTTGAAAAATTAAGATAGCTAGCTAAGATTAATAGACTCGAAGCGACGGAGGTGTCGTTCTACAGAAGAATGCTAAGGATAACATGGACTGAGTGTGTGAGCAATGATGAGGCCGTAGAAAGGATGCAAACAAGGAGGAGGCTTATAATTAACATCAGGAAGAGGCAGCTGAAGTTTCTGGGAGACATAATGAGGAAAGAGTGCCTGGAGAATCTGATACTCATAGGTCGAATAGAGGAAAACAACGCATAGCGTACCTAGCGGTCTTAAGCAAGTGGATGACAGAACATCGTCTGGGGAAGGAAGTAGATGGAAGGAATTTGTTGAGAGTTCCAAGGGATAGAGGGTGGTGGAGAGCCATGATCGCCTACGTCCTGAAAGGACATGACACATAAAAAGTAAGAAAGAAGCTGCAGTAAATATCTCATTGATTAGTCCTGATTTTCTTGTCAGTTGTCTAACCGTAACCATTTAGTTATGTCTCATACAGAAGTGATTCGAAAAAGAGGTCAAGTTTAGGGATTTAAAACGCCGAAAAAAATTTTCGTTAATAAAAAAAAAAACAGACGACATTCGTTGAACGGATGTCAAAATTTGTTGAAAAATGCAACCCTTACACGCTCTAAACTTAACCTCTTTTTCGAATGTAACTCATAATTGATACAACAATAGTTAATAAAATTGAATACGCTACCGCCCCTGTCTAAATGATTGGATTTCTCTGTATCGTTGGAAAAAAGTAATTATGTATTATATGTGTGTACAAAATTCAGTAAATTTAAAAATAAGTTATTCCAAATTTCCCTTGAAGATGAAACAGAACTAATACTTTTAATTTAATTATATAATTAAATTTGAAGTTTTAACTTCGGATTTTGAAACATAGTAATTCCTGTGTAGCGAAGAAACCATATTTTAAATCAGTTGATTTATATATATATATATATATATATATATATATATATATATATATATATATATATATATGTATGTATGTATGTAATGAAAATTATGAGATCAGCCTAATCTAATTTTTTATACTTAAAAGTTCTGCATGTTAATCTTTCTAATACTACTATTTTCTGACTAATTTAACTTCACCCGTTAACTTTACTTGTATATATATATATATATATATATATATATATATATATATATATATATATATATATATGTGTGTGTGTGTGTGTGTGTGTGTGTGTGTGTTTTTGTGTGTGTGTGTCGAATCTCATCTAAACTGCCTTCCAACCAAGGCTACAGTAGAGGCTATTTAACCCTATCCGGGCGTGGGTGGGGAGAGTTGATTTCATGGTTAGCACGTAAGTGAATGTAATAAATTCGACTGGAATTCGAACTCTGCTCTCCAATTCTGCTAACCATTACCCCGCCTGCCTATGTATATATGTATGTATGCATATATGTATGTAGATAGTTAAATAGATGTGTGTGTGTGTCTGTGTGAGAGTGTGTGTGGAACTTTTAGCTATTATTGCCTAATTCTATATTCAATGTCAGCCTTTTTTCTCACCAAACCAGAATCTGTGACTGACAGAGACAGAAGATTTCCTGCTGGGCACTGGACAGAATACAACATGGCGTCAAAATGCTTCGAGTGGCTGGACATCCGTGCCGAGAATGAAAGACTATGGAAATCTCTAAGTGTCTATCTGTTCCTTCACCGTCCAGTCCTGTCCTGGCCTCTGTTTGGTCTTCCCCCTTCCCTCTTGTATATCTAGATTGCCAGCTACCTTCTTCTGTCCCTACTTACCTACACAAATACACTCCCAGTTGGAGACATCACTTACATATGTATCGCAGACTTTGAAGCTACAACAGAAGTACTCTACTGTTATCTAAGGGGAGGAAATTGGACATTGCAGCAAACCCTCCTTGGATTTGGTTAGAAATTAGCTCTGTGGTCTTTTTTGTTTTTAAATTAACTGAAAAATAGGACTACTGGCGCGGATATATCAGCCATAGCAAATCTAGCAAGATATAGATATTAAGTTTATTTTAGTCTCTCATTTTCCACCTGATAAAAAAAATAGTTTTGCTATTATCAACCATCCCAAAAGTCAGTGGTCGAGCCGAGATAAATGCGATTATTGCAAACGCTTATTTTAAGGGATTTACGTGGATTAAGTGAACTGTTGATTTTTCATTAGACATGCACACATATATATTACATGAATTATTCATACAAAAAACAGATATAGAAGTTAATGATTTAAATGGCGAAAATCCATCTTCGCAAACAAATTTAATAAAGTACATTAACCCCAAACCTGTAGATGAATGCTATAATCACTGTTTATAAATTCCAGTTGCATAAGGTCTTTTTTTAGTTTTTTACAAGCTTTCATCTGTTCCTACAGACATCTTCAGGTATGGAAATAGATTTGTTTTTGTTTTTTACTTCTCGGTAATAACAGGACAACGAAAATATAGATGTAATCCGAAAAATGTTTTTAGAAATGTGTTATTGTTAATTGTAAGAAATTTTTTTGGAGTGTGCGGTCACAACGCTGAGGTTGAATTTTTAAATTTTAAGATTGTGCGTTTTTGTACTAATATGGTAATAGGAGAATTCTTTTGTACTGGTAGGTTTTACAGTCAATATGGCATGAACTAAATTGTTCAATAAATACAGGAATGTAACAGTTATGTAAAAGTTGCACCTTGGATCAGTTATTTTAATATCAATTACGTGGTGCAGTTCAATTTACATTACATGAATCATTCATACAAAAAACACTCCCAAACTTTTCTTACATATGTTTGTATATGTGGTTGTGTGTATATATGTGGGTATATATATGTGTGTGTATATATATGTGTGTGTATATATATATATATGTATTAATATATGCGTGTATATATATGTGTATATATATATATATATATATATATATATATATATATATATATATATATATATATATATATATATATATATATATATATATATGTAAGCAAATATATGGATATATATATGACAAATATATGGATATAAAAACATATGAAAAAAAATATAAAAAAAAAATCCTCATATGCAATTATGCTGTTTTAATGTTAATATGTAAACGTCGGAAACAGAGCGCTGATCTTATAAAACTTTCAGTTATCTGTTTGGATAAGTCTTGTTCTTATGTACATCGTCTTTGTCACGTTGAATTGATAATGTTAATTATATTTTATGTCCTGAAGATGGTTTATTAGACCGAAACGTCCGACGTTGACATATTAGCATTAAAACAGTATAATTGCATATGAGGATTTTTTTGTTGTTTTTTTCGTATATATTTTTTTATATATATATATATATATATATATATATATATATATATATATATATATATATATGTAGGTATATGTGTGTGGGGGTACATGCATACATATGTGCATATCATAACAGTATGTAAATATACACAGCGATCACGATCACGAATTCTGTGATCACTTAGTGTTGAAGGACCACCACACGTTCTGCAGTAGTAGTAGAAGTGGTGTTTCTTGAGCAAGGTAGCCTGACGGATCCTAACCCTCTCCAGGCCGCTTTGAATTCAGAGTTTTCCTTCACCCAGACCGTCTTCTACCCAGTCTGTCCTGCTATTTACCCATAGCTGGGAGGAGAAGAGGATCCATACCCTTCCCAAGGGTATTAGCAAGTAAGTGGATGTAATGGATCCTACTGTAATTCGAAGTCGGCTCTCCGATTCCTCAATCTCAGCCGCTATCCATTACTCCACCGTGCCTACACATGCCCACGCGCAAACATATGAATCGATATACACGTATAGATATAAATACACGTACAAAATTAATACACATCTTCACTAACATTCCCCCCTCATTACAAAAGCTTGTATGTAAAGGAGCCATAGTGATAGATTCAATAATATTATTAAGAAGGTTATTCCAATCAAGAAGGTGGTTGGAAAGTAGCCCTCATTGTACTGGGTTATCCTGGTTAACCTACATCATTTATAATTTTAAATTGTAAAATTTTTACGTAATTTATAATTTTATATAATTTTATATTTTACTATTACTAATACTATCTTTATTTTTTATACTTATCTACTTTATACATTAAATTTGTTCTTTAAAATTATCTATTTATTAATTTATTTATTTTATCTTATATTATAATTTTTTTTATCCTATTTGATTTATGTTGGATATTATTATTATTATTATTAGTTCAAAATTATAATGATTATTATGTGATAATGATTGCCGCCTAAAATGACATGACTCTCTCAGACAATTTACTCTCTTTTAATTCTGATTACCACCTCCCTTACTCAGTATACTAATTTGTTCAGCCCTTTAAGGAAAGATTTCTCCTATTGGTTCATCATTTATTTTTTTCATTTTTTTCCTTTCTTTTGTTTCACTCTCTCTCTACCGCCGTCTGTCCCTCTTCCCTCCGTCTGTCTCTCCTCCCTCCATCTGTCACTCCTCCCACCGTCGCTCCCTCCTCCCTCCGTCTCTCCCTCCTCCCTCCGTCTGTCCATGCTCCCACCGTCTCTCCCTCCTCCCTCCGTCTCTCCCTTCTCCATCCGTCTGTCACTCCTCCCTCCGTCTCTCCCTCCTCCCTCCGTCTCTCCCTTCTCCCTCCGTCTGTCACTCCTCCTCCGTCTCCCTCCCTCCCTCCGTCTCTCCCTTCTCCTCCCTCTCCCCTCCTCCCTCCGTCTCTACCTTCTCCCTCCGTCTGTTACTCCTCCCTCCGTCTCTCCCTTCTCCCTCCGTCTGTTACTCCTCCCTCAGTCTCTCCCTTCTCCATCCGTCTGTCACTCCTCCCTCCGTCTCTCCCCCCTCCCTCCGTCTCTCCCTCCTCCTCCGTCTCTCCCTTCTCTCTCTCATTTATTTTAAAAAATTGCATTTGATTTCTGAAGATTTCCTTTCTTTTATTATTAATTTTTCTCCATTTTTGTTTTTTTTTTTTTTTGGTCTAAGGGGAATTTTGTTTCCCCCACCTTCTTTCCCTTTCTCCATTTTATCCAGATATATCAGTTTGGATGGATTGGTTCCATTTCCCAAAAAACTTTCGGTCTGAGGATATGAATATTGAAATATTCATGAAATAAATTATAACCGAGATTGATTTTTAAGGTATTTTTTTAAATTTATCATTATATATATATATATATATATATATATATATATATGTAGCGGATGTAACAGCAGAGTTATCCAAATCGTGTAACAGCAAGATTGTACAATTGTTAGATTAAGCTTTGCATCGTTGTCTCTGAGAAATGATTAATGATATCTTACTGGAATTTTCCGAGATGTTTATAACATTATTGAACTCCACATTGAGTAATAAGCTTTTGGACACTTCTTTAGCCATTGGCAATTGTTTGTTTTTAAGTGTTTTTAATTGTTTTTATGCTTGTACCATGTCTATATAGTAGAAATGTTTACTCAGGTCCCAGTGAAAAGGAACGTCTATTTGAATTTGAGTTCTCGTCATTCTATTTTATATATATATATATATATATAAAGATATTTTTATATTTAACGTTCTTTTTATAGATACAAGTATTTAAGTAAATGCTCTGTTTATAATAAACAGTATTAAATAAAATTTACCGGCCTAAATGTCCGAGAAATTTTCATAGAAAATATTCGTCCGTCGACAGGATTCGAACCTGTATCCTATACGGAACCGTCATATAGCCTGACGTGGCTTACCGCTCGGCCACAAAGGATCGTTAGGTTGGCAAGGTCGAATTTACTGCTTATAAACTTCAATTTTCCATGAATCTCCCACGTCACATTCATAACTGCTTTATATAACTATATATATATATATATATATATATATATATATATATATATATATATATATATATATATATATATATATATATATATATATATATATATATATATATATGTTTTCATTGAGACATGTTTCATTGAACAATCTAGACAAGTTTTGTCCACTTATTTTCAATCGGATATTTTCATATTCACGAGCAAGACTTTTTGGTGTCATTATTAAAGAAAGAGAGAAAACGCTGTGTTGATATATATATATATATATATATATATATATATATATATATATATATATGTGTGTATGTGTGTGTTCGTGTGTGTGTTTCATCCGTGCGTGAATTATCTTCTTTTAGAATTTCTCTTTCTTGCCCAATTTCTTCTTTTTCAAATGGTTATACCATTTCTTTCTTTATTCCTTTCTTTGAACCTACGTTTACGTTTTTTTTTTCGGTTGTCTGTTGACTTTCTTCCTTTTTTTTCTTAGATTTCCTTTCTACCATCTATATTTTCTTCCTTGCTTCCTTCTCATTTATTCCCAGCCTGTCTGTCTATTTCATCCATTCGCCTCTATTATCACATTTATCCTTTCTTCTTCTTCACTTCTCTGATTTTTCCGTTTAAAATATAGCGGCATTTCGTGACAAGCACATACTAGGTGAATGCCTTATTTATTAATCAATACCAAACCATCGTTATCTTACATGCAAGTTTCAACGCGTGATAACATTAGAGCCCCTTTATCACCATTGCTTCTATAATCTCTTTCACAATTCCTGTGTCCTCCCCTTCTATTTATCTCGAACCCCCGGGGCGTTGTCCAGGGTGTTTGACCATCTAACATGTGTAAAGATAGAATGAGTCATCGAAAACCCAGTCATCTGCTAACAGCCGTGACATTTTATAAAAGGTGCATAGCATACCGGTCATGAATTTTCAATGTAGTCGATGTAATTCATCGCTAGATCTTGGATTGCCTGTTTGAAATTAATAAGTGTTTACAACGGAAACTTCCAACTAATAGCCGTGCGCTACCGATAAATAACCCTTACGTTTTCTATTTAATACTTTTCCATTGTTATATTCTATTTCCACAGCAGTGCCACATATTCGCTCTGTCCTATAGGTAACCATATATGCAGGTCGATGGGAAAGTAACTTCCCATTTTAAAAATATTTATAATTTATTTATTAACTATAATTTTGACAAGAAATATGATGAGAGGAAAGCGTTTTGTATGAGGTTTTATTTAAAATTCGATATGGACACCAGATTTCGCTACAAGCTTCAGGGGCCACTCAGAAATCGCATCAAATGATTTCACCAGGAACTCTTGTGGTATGGAAGACATAACTACTTGTATTCCCTTTCAAGTTGTTACAAATCTTGGTTTGGTATAGAAGACTTTTTCTTTTTATCAACACCAAAGAAAGAAACCACAGCGTGTTAAGTCAGGACATCTGGTTGGACATTTATTCATAAAATAGGGAGTAACTTTTCAATCACCCAGTATGTGTATATATATATATATATATATATATATATATATATATATATATATATATATATATATATATATATATTCATACACGTTTCATTAAATAATATAGACAAGTGTTGTCTATTTATTTTATGTAAATTTTTTCGTAACATCTGATAAGTTTAATAACATTATCGTTGAACGAAGAAAGAAATTCACAATATTGATCCATATTTTTTTTTATCCCACGTTTATTTTTCTTATGCCTTTATATATATATATATATTTAATTTAATATTTACTTTCAACAATAAGAATGTAGTTAGCTCTAAGTTTCATTAAATAAATATATATATATATATAAAAGCATAAGAAAAATAAACGGGATCAAAAAAAATAAAGAAAGAAATGATATAATTATTTAAAGAAGAAATTGACCTATATCACCCAGTGTGTATATATTGAAATTGGCCTTTCAAACACTCAGTATATATATATATATATATATATATATATATATATATATATATATATATATATATATATATATATATATATATATATATATATAAAGGTGTAACAGCAAAATTTTCCAAGTGTTAAATCATGCTTTTGAACCGTTGTATCTTAGAAAGGACATCTTACTGGAATTCTCCGAGTCTTTTATAAAACTATTGGACTCTACTTTCAACAATAAGAATGTAGTTAGCTCTAAGTTTAAATCATGGTCGCTCTTCTTGTTCGTTCCTCCCGATCCTGTGTTTTACTCTGTAGCGTTCCCTCTTTTTTTGAACGTCTTCATCGTTCTCTTGATATTTCTTGGAGGAAATTTGATGATGAACATCAGAGTATTAATGTTGCTATCATCACTGAAGCCTTCAATGATCCTTTCCTCTCAGCGTTGCTCATTTGGGAAGACAGTGGGGTTGTTTCAAAACGATTTTAACCTGTTCTCTTTCTAGCTGAATGACTTAATAAAGATAGTCCTTAAGCGTACAGAGATATTTCAAATGGATCCATTATTGTTAAATTACTAATGGAAATTGTATTAACTAAGTTCTCACCGGTTTATGAAAATCAAACATTTTACAACCCAATCTGACTATTTTTCTAATAAGATGTGTAAGGATGGAATTTTATTTCCTGCTATGTTAACCTTACACCAACATACGTCTACAGCAGTAGAGACTTCCATTTCACATCCATTAAAATCCATTTTCCAAGCTCTAACTCAACTAACTGTTAAGATTCGATGGAGTAATTATATGTCTACAAATCGTATGTGTGCAGCGAAGACACTAATATCGAAACATTTCGTACCTTACCAGGAGAACGACAAGGAGGAAGTCTGTTTTACCTCTTTCTATATTATGTTCTACAAACACAGGTGTGAAGAGATAGACACAGGTCATTTAAACATCCCATACCACACCCCAATTGAATCTAGCAATAGTATACTACGTTCACGCTTTCCTTCCCTAGGCAAATTTATAGATAATGAGGCGGGGGAAATATACCGATGACACAGGTATTCTTATTTAGGAAATAAATGATTTTGAACCAAAAAAATCAACCTCCTCTACCAGGTGTTCCAAGAAATAGTACTCAAGGTAAATATTTAAAAAAAAATGATACTATGATTTCAAATTCGAAGGAAAACAATGTAGGAACCTTAACTGAATCCATCATAAAATTCTGGATATGATGTTAGTAATTACTAAATATTTTACTTAGTACCAAGTCATAACTTAGTAGTCCTACCAGAATTCGTTATTGGGGGGCACAATCTTAGCAACATTAGAGACGCAGATAAAAAAGTCCTGTTAACAGACACGGAAAGTAAACTACAGGATCATTTACAAATGTGCTAAAGGAAGGCGTGAAGAAAGGACTAAACATGAATTTTAAGTATTATGAGTGTATGGTTGACAGAAAAGAAATAGTCCAAAAAGCAAATTACAAATTGAAGATATCAAAATCAAACAAATAATAAATGCAAATATATAGGATGTACCTTAACAGAGAGGGGGAAAATGCAACACCGAAAACGATGCTTTCCGAAAGCTGAGCAAAGTATTAAGAAGCAGGAAAATGTCATCAGAAACAAAGAAAAGAGTACTGAACACTATGACACAGGTGAAAAAGATATTTGAGGCAGCAGAAATCTGTTTCTACAGAAGGATGCTGAGAATTCGATGGATTGAACAATAACTAAACTTTAGAGAAAATGGAAACAATATTGACTATTATGCTTAACCTCAGAAAGTTGATATATCTAGGTCAGATAATGAGGAAAGAGGGATTAGAAAAATTGACGCTCACAAGATATATTGGAAGGTCGAGGGGTAGAAAATGGTAACAAATAATCTACACAACCAGCTCCTCAAAACACGGCGGATAAAAGAAGATTATAGACTGAACCCTTTGCTACTTTTTGCCTTCACGTAATTAACATTTTTCTCCTTTTTTAAAAAAAAAAACATTTCAAACCAAGCAAGACAATAAAGCCACTAGGACGCAGGGGATTACTGAGTGTTAGAAAATATGATAAAACCTGCTGTTAAGGAAAGAGAACAATAAAAGAACAAGGATTAAGAAGACAAGATAACAATTAACAGTGCATTTAAAGTTTTGAAGATCAAAGTTGAATGGGAAGTAACAGGCTGGAAGAGTGTTCCACAAGCGGGAAGTGTGACAGAAGAAACTGTTAGCATAGAACTTACGCCATTTCAGCAGTGACATGATAAAACCTTATTGTCACTCTCGTACTGTTCTTAAATTCATAAAATCTAGGTACCATAACGGAAAGTTCATAAGAACAATTATCATGAAAATATTTATGGAAAAGGCACAGATGCGCTACTTTACTTAATCCTAGGGGATTTTTTTGCCATTTTCATTATCTATTGCTTGCGATAACTCTAACTTTCCTGGTTATTACAAAATCTTTTCTTTTTATACTGCAAGAGAGAACCCCAAAATAGCATCTATTTATTTCCACATAAACGAAAACAGACACCGGGAGATAAATCAAACAATTGTGTAATCCAGTCACAACAATTATCTATTCATTTCAGAGGCGCTTTCATAAAAATCACGATTGTCTATGTAATGCCAAGGTGCATCTCATCGTCAATACCATTATATATATATATTTCCGGTGGGCTTTTCGTAGCCATCATTCTTGGTTATCCAATAGCGAGAGGCTTTTCATAGCCATCGCCCTTGGCTATCCAATAGCGAGGCGCTTTTCGTAGACATCACCGTTGGCTATCCAATAGCGAGGTGCTTTTCGTAGCCATCACTCTTGGCTATCCATTAGCGAGGTGCCTTTCGTAGCCATCACCCTTGGCTATCCAATAGCGAGGTGCTTTTCGTAGCCATCACCCTTGGCTATCCAATAGCGAGGTGCTTTTCGTAGCCATCACCCTTGGCTATCCAATAGCGAGGCGCTTTTCGTAGCCATCACTCTTGGTTATCCAATAGCGAGGGATTATCGTAGCCATCACCTTGGCTATCCAATAGCGAGGGGATTTTCGTAGCCATCACCCTTGGCTATCCAATAGCGAGGTGCTTTTCAGCCATCACCCTTGGCTATCCAATAGCGAGGTGCTTTTCGTAGCCATCAGTCTTGGCTATCCAATAGCGAGGCGCTTTTCGTAACCATCACCCTTGGCTATCCAATAGCGAGGTGCTTTTTTCACCCTTGGCTATCCAATATGAGGTGTTGCCATCACCCTTGGCTATCCAATAGCGAGGTGCTTTTCGTAGGCCATCGAGGTGCCCCTATCCAATAGCGAGGCGCTTTTCGTAGCCATCACCCTTGGTTATCCAATAGCGAGGTGCTTTTCGTAGACATCACCATTGGCTATCCAATAGCGAGGGCCTTTCGTAGCCATCACCCTTGGCTATCCAATAGCGAGGTGCTTTTTCGTAGCCATCACCCTTGGCTATCCAATAGCGAGACGCTTTTCGTAGCCATAACCCTTGGCTATTCAATAGCGACGGGCTTTTCGTAGCCATCACCCTTGGCTATTCAATAGCGAGGTGCTTTTCGTAGCCATCACCCTTGGCTATCCAATAGCGAGGTGCTTTTTCGTAGCCATCACTCTTGGCTATCCATTACGGCT